CTCAAAGGGCATAAGGTAAAGGGAGGTCACTCTTATCATCTAAGATGACCATACTCCTCCACTCTCTCCCCTAAACTCCTCTCAAAATATGCATTGTTTGGCAACTAACTTGGGCGTCGGAGGCTCCGCCCCGGGTTCAACCCCCGGGGCTCGGGGTTCATTTTGCAGGTCCATTCAAGGCCCAAATTCGAGGTTCTCAGACACCCCTCCAAGGCCCGGTTAGCTCATTTTCTGCCGAAACAATTTGGCGCCGTCTGTGGGGAGACGAGTACTACTACCCATGAAAATCCACTAATTCATGGCTATTGTGTTCTATCACGAAAAAGGGTCAAAATTTCTAGCAAATTTAACCCAAAATTATTACTCCTGTCAAAAGGGGTAATCATTCTTGCAAATGGTGGAGATGATAGATAAACATTTTGATTTGTCGCCAATCTAACCACTACTAACAAGGTACTTCGTGCCTTTACAAAAAAATTGGGAAATACTCCATTATGGTCAAACCTTAATTATTCTTGAAGAAGAATAAAAGCTAGATCTACGTGGCTCTAATGGAAAGCTCACAAAAGCAAGCCTTTCATTCACACCACCAAGTTGAAGAGGCAGCAGGTGGCATGAAACATACATAAAAAATCAATCAAGTTTATGTAAATTCAATGCTTGCCGAAGGAAATTGCCATTGTCTTCATCACAAGCTTCAAGGCTCACAACTCCACCACTAGAACGACTCACCATTTCATCCTAGGCAACACATGCCGAGGTCAATGGGGGTCAAGGCTAGTATTGTGAAGTGAGCCAAATCTCTTCACATCACATCTAAAGTAGCAACCGAAGAAGATCCGAGGTTGTCTACCATTGTTGAAGCTTAAAAAAGCTCAAACTATCACCAATCTAAAAATCCGAAGCAAATCGCTCGGATAAGCAAAAGGAATCCGAAGCTCATCGAGCCGAGGCTATCCGAAGGTGTTTCAGCCCAAGCCGAAGGTGTTCTGGGCAAGCCAGCCGAGCCGAGACCGGTGTTTCGGCCAAGCCTAAGGCTTTTCAGCCGAGGTTATCCGAAGGAGTTTCAGCCCAAGCCGAAGGCGTTCTGGGCGAGTCGAAGGTGATTCAGAAGAAACCAAGGGTGGTACAGTTTACCGCTCCCAAGTTAAGGTCGGTAACCATTGCCGAGACGAAGCTCACCTCTTATCTCCTGGCCGAGGCTAGCCATAGCCGAAGCCGAGCCCAGCCGAGGTTTACCTTCGCCGAGATTCGAGCTCCCAGCCGAAGCTCACAACCATATGAGCCGAGGGTGCTTCCGAAGATGGTTTGTCTGAACCGAAGAAAGAGTAATCAACTCTTTCTATCTTCGGATCAAGAGTAAACTCTTTCTATCCCCGGATCAAGAGTAACAAACTCTTTCTATCCTCGGATTAAGGGTAAACTCTTTCTATCCCCGGATCAAGAGTAATAAACTCTTTCTATCCTCGGATCAAGAGTAATAAACTCTTTCTATCCTCGGATCAAGAGTAACAAACTCTTTCTATCCTCGAATTAAGGGTAAACTCTTTCTATCCTCGGATCAAGGGTAAACTCTTTTTATCCTCGGATTAAGAGTAAAACTCTTTCTATCTTCGGATCAAGAGTAAACTCTTTCTATCCCCGGATCAAGAGTAATAAACTCTTTCTATCCCCGGATCAAGAGTAATAAACTCTTTTTATCCTCGGATTAAGAGTAAAACTCTTTCAGTCCTCGGATCAAGAGTAATTAACTCTTTCAAACCTTGGATCAAGAGTGTTGCCTCGGATGAACTCTTTCAGTCCTCGGATCAAGAGTAATTAACTCTTTCAATCCTTGGATCAAGAGTGTTGCCTCGGATAAACTCTTTCAGTCCTCGGATCAAGAGTAATTAACTCTTTCAATCCTTGGATCAAGAGTGTTGCCTCGGATGAACTCTTTCAGTCCTCGGATCAAACCTTGGATCAAGAGTGTTGCCTCGGATGAACTCTTTCAGTCCTCGGATCAAGAGTAATTAGCTCTTTCAATCCTTGGATCAAGAGTGTTGCCTCAGATAAACTCTTTCTATCCCCGGATCAAGAGTAATAAACTCTTTTTATCCTCGGATTAAGAGTAAAACTCTTTCAGTCCTCGGATCAAGAGTAATTAACTCTTTCAATCCTTGGATCAAGAGTGTTGCCTCGGATGAACTCTTTCAGTCCTCGGATCAAGAGTAATTAGCTCTTTCAATCCTTGGATCAAGAGTGTTGCCTCAGATGAACTCTTTCAGTCCTCGGATCAAACCTTGGATCAAGAGTGTTGCCTTGCATAAACCTGAACAAATAAAGTCCTTCGACTCAATTTCTATGAACGAATTATTTGGGAAATTGAAACAAAACCCAACTCATTTTTTCAAATAGAATTGGGTCTCGGGGGCTAATTGTTTGGGTACTAAAATGGTCATACCCATTTTAGTCTTGGGTAACTCTACCCATATAAGCCCAAAGGCCATAAAAAAGGTATAAAAGGCCCCAAATAAGTCAAATACATCAATATGGCCTTCAACGGCCCACATATGTAATATTAGGGCTCATAAACCCACTTATGTACTCATATAAATACCCCTCAAAGGGCATAAGGTAAAGGGAGGTCACTCTTATCATCTAAGATGACCATACTCCTCCACTCTCTCCCCTAAACTCCTCTCAAAATATGCATTGTTTGGCAACTAACTTGGGCGTCGGAGGCTCCGCCCCCGGTTCAACTCCCGGGGCTCGGGGTTCATTTTGCAGGTCCATTCAAGGCCCAAATTCGAGGTTTTCAGACACCCCTCCAAGGCCCGGTTAGCTCATTTTCGTCCAAAACACTCTCTATGATCTTTTAAAAACTCGTGGAATTAAATTAAATCTACATCAATAATCATTTACCAAGTTACATTATGCTTAGTGTAAAGGTGCAATGTAAATTAAATAATTGAAAAGAATGAAATATATATAATATTAAAGTACAAAATAGAAAAAAGCAATCAATAACCTCATTGGTCATCACCTAAAAAAGAAGAAGAAAAAAGGGACAAAATCAAAGAAAAGTTCCTCAAACGCACTACACTCTCAAATAAAGTAGGGGATAAGGGTGGTATAGATTTTTCCCGACATCTATGATAATTGCCTTAAGATGCAAATAAACTAGATTGGATTTTTTTTTATTTAAAAAAAAAAAAACTCAATTATGCTCTATATTATTTATAAATAATTTAGATTTTATAATTATATTAGATATTAAATCATGTAAGAAATAAGAGATCAAGTACAAGGAAATTATCGTATCTCAAGTCCAGAAATTGTCATATCCAATCCAATATCTCATTCAGGTTGGTTATAATTATTTATTGGCTGAATTGTTGAGTATTACTTCTTTCGCTTCCAAAAAAATTGCAACAAGAATGGAATTACGCATCCTAAATCACATTTTATATGTAATATATCTATAATTATATATAAGTAAAAATCAAATTATAAAAAGTTAATATTGTGAAAGTATTTTATGAGACTAATCTAACGTACAAGATCTCACATAACTATGATTCACTTATTAATGTATTAATCATATTATGTGGTGAATGAACAAGAGTAATGAATAGTGCAAAAGTCTAATTGTTGCAACATTATTAGGACGGAGAAAGTGTGTAAAAAAAAGCTATTGTATTTATAAATCAAAATTTTGAAAATTGAAAAAACATGTACGAAATAGTATATAATTTTAGACTAAATTGGATTAAAATCATTAAATTTATATAAGTATTATGTTATAATCAATATAACATTACATACCCTACTATGGAGCATTGTTTATGTTGGCCAACAATCGGTCAATCACCATATGTTTTAGCATTCTCTCCAAATAATAATTCAAAAGAATTAGGATAATGTGACATGCCACCAAAGTGTAGGGTTAAAAGAAGTATCTTATGTTATTAAATTATCTAAAATGGCCCCAAAAATTACTCCTCTCCAATTTCAATTGTCATAGGAGAGCATTTTTAATGTAACTTCCCATGTTATATCACGCTAAATAATACTTTTATGATGTTAAATCTAATTATACTGTATGATAATCCAAATCAGCTAAGACTTTTTTTATAGGCCAACTCACCTAGCTATTTTTTTTTTTTTTTTTTTATATTTATTTTTTAAAAATAAAAGGATTATTAGATGGTTTCACATTTGAAAGTTAAAATATTGCTTAATGCTTATAGCTCTAATTGTATGAATAATACTCCATATCCCTTTTTTTCTATAGAATGAAAATGAATACTCCAATATCCTTAGCTTGTATGTTGAACGGTACGGAGTACTTCGCACATTTTTCAATTTCATAGGTTCTTTTTCAATTGTAATTTTAAGAGTTTACATTATTCACACAAACTATTCCGTATGTTATATTTGGATTTATGGATTATGTAAATTGTGTAAATATCCTATTTGAACTAATTTTGACCAATAATTTTATTTGACCTTGGAAATAAAGGAAATAACTTTGACCAATAAATTTATGACCTTGGAAATAAATAGTCACATTAAACAACTCGTCTATAGTAAATGAGAAGAAATAACTGTCACGTTACGAGTACATAGCTCGCATCTAGTTAATCAGTTGAAATTAGGAAATAATAGTCATGTTGATAATTTTTTTTTGACAAAATGTTGATACTTTTACGTACACGTTATTCATGGTTTAAATGTGGAGTAAACAGTTTCTTGATTCAAGTTGTGGTAAACTTATTGAAATTACACTCCATATTATTATAGAGGTCCAGTTAACAAAATACCAGGGAAAATACTATAAAAAGAATGGAAAATAAAATTGAAGAGTGGAGTACAATTTAGACTAGTCAAAACTAACCTACTAAAAACGTCAACTTTTACAATGAAAGGAAAGAAATCATGAAATTTTACCTCATCATCATCATTATTTGATCAATATTATTATTTGCATAAAAATAAAATAAAAAAATACTCATATATACAAAATACAAGTATTATACAAACTTCATAAAAGATTCACCCTTTTTAAAATTCTCAATGAACAATTACAAAGAGTAATTAAATAATTACAAATTTGGGAATCAACTCTAACATGTTCATTAGAATTTCCAAATCAAAAACTCAAAAACTTGATTAGCAAGTTAATCAAATTCTCCCTCTTTTTCTCACTGTAAAAATCCTAAAAGTGGGTAAAACTTCATACATTTTTTTTTTCCACCCACCAAACAAGAAAATAAAAATTTGTACAAATATTTCACAACTAATATTAATTAATTAATTAGACAAAAGTCTAATTAAATTACAATTAGTTAATATGAATATGTAACTCGATGAATCACACGATCTCTAATAATTCCTTGGTAAAGAGCAGCTCGATTAGCAGGCATTAATCTCTTATTTTTATCATTATTTTCAACTTTATTAATCTTTCTTAAAATATTATTACTATGTTGCCTTCTAAATTCCTCATTATCTCTTCTTGGATCCACAACATCTTCTGCAAATCTCACCCTTTTTTTCTTCTTTTCACCCTTTCTTTCACCTGTTTACATAAATTCCCACATTCATTTTCCTAAATTCAAACAAATTTAATCTCTAAAAATAAAATAAAATAAAAAACAGGGGAAAACAGAGGAAAAAACAGAGTATTAAAAAAATTGATTAAAAATTACCTGAAGAAAGACAAGGACGAAGAATTGGAATGGAGTTCACTTGAAATTGAGAAGAAGGAGATTTTTGAAGGCGAAAAGCTAAGAGAATAACAGTACCAGCAGCCATGGCAGTAGCCAAGAAAACGCCTTGAGAACAGAGGATGGAAGACATTGATGATAAAAATGGAGTCTTTTTAGAGAGAGAAAATGTGGGGAAGAGAGAGAAAGTGAAAAAAAATAAAAAGAGGGTGGAAGAACTCTCAACTAATTCCAAAAGACAGAGTCTTGGAAAATAAGGGTAATAAATTTATATAATAAGGTTGTGTATAATATGAACAAGAAAGAAGAAAGGAGGAAAAATATTGTTTTTTTTTTTTTTTGTTGGATTAAAATAAAAAGGGGGTCATAAAAGAGAAATTATTGAATTGCATTTTTTGGGGTGGGTGGTAAGTGGTACGAGTAGCTACTAGTCTTTGCTTTGTTATTCTTTCGAGACCTAGTCTAATCTAATGTGGATTATGTAATTAAAAATATGATTAGAAATTTAATAAAATTGAGAATATATTTTTAATAATGTTGTCATGTGGATAGGTGTTGGTCAATCTTTTTAAAAGTATATATGTTGGTACTTTTAAATATTTTCATGCTGTTAATTTTTTTATTAGATGAGTGATTACTGATTAAGAGTTATTAAACTACGTCATATTTTAGTTAATACTCGGTTATAACTCTATGATTATAAAATATAATATGAACTTTTTAAATGCGTCAAAGAGATCTAAAAAGCTTGATTTGTTATCAATTTTGATGATATACTTATGTGTCACACACTCACACTAATAATATTAAATAGATGTGTTGATTCGAGCCATTGTTCGAGTTCGGTTTAAATGTAATTGAAGTGTATCTTTTTGAATTTGAGTCATACGAAATTATTATAACCATGAAAGATTAAAGTATGCATATATTAAGATGAATACGAGAAAATTCTCTTCAAGGTGTGTTATTGGGAGGAACTGACCTCACACATTCAGCTAGGAAGTCAATTTTGTTGGTCAACTCACCCAACTTCAATTCCTATAGTTTGAATGTTACGAGAAGATAAAATTCCTATAGTTTGAGTCATACAAAAAAAATTTCTAATCACAAAAAAAAAATGAAAATATAATCAACCTCAATTTTCTTTCTTGTTTTGAGTGCTTTCCTCTACTTTCTTTGCAATAAGCTAAATCGACATAATTAATTGATTAGTTGTGTATTGAATTTACAAGGTGTAATAGTATCTGGCAGTTGCGTAATACATAGAATATGCAATGTACATGTGAATTCTAGTTTGACGATAAAAAATATGCATAACTTATTTTTGGTCATATTTTAACAATTTCTACCTAATTAGTGATAGAAAATTAGATATGCATAAATGGATATATCTTTGATGCTAACTACTCGTAGTGAGGAATTCCATCATTAGGCATGCATGCAAATTTAATATTGCATGTTTTGTTTATTTATTTTAGTACGAGTACTATTTTTATTTGTATACAATTGCAAGTATCAATATAAATATTTTATACAATAATACTTCTTTGTTTCAATCATAACACAAAAACATAACTACACAAGACATGTATCATATGATTTATTTCATAACAAAAAAAAAAAAAGTATCATATGATTATAATTGAGATGTATGTTAGGGAAACTGAAAAATGATACTTTTAGGAATAGAGGACGCATGTTATGTCCCTTTCTACTAATCTACGGAGTAATACAGTACATTTATATAGTGTAATTTAGGTTCGTATGCACTTTGAGAACACAAACCCCTTATGTCATAAAAGCCGTTGAAATATATTTGCACTATAAAAAGTAAACAAAAAAAAGTTGAAAGTAACATTAATTTGTACTAGTAAGAATATTCGAAACTCACCATCACAATTGCAACTAAATTTTTCTCTTAATGGAAAGAGAAAAAAAATATTAAAAACTTTAATACAGAGTACGTACTTTGTAAATACTAGTAAGAGAATAGCTAGCTACACTATCTAGCTAGGTGATAAATTGAATGTGAAAGCCACATGACAAAGTAGATGATGACAATTGAATGTTGATTGGTGAGAAGTGGTAGATTGGTGGTTCGTGAAAGGGGCATATTATTTGTTGAGTTTGGATACGAAAAGTGCAAGTATTTTCTCAACTTTTGGCTATGCAAGGCAAGAAACGCTTAACTACGTTTTAGGTGACAATGGTCGATAGACCTATTTTTCGAAACGTTAGGAATCTTATAGGATAACTTAGAGTTATGATCTCTACCCAAAGTAAAAAAAATCACGTTGATAATGAAATTTGAAAAGATGTATGATAATACTCTAATATTCCTCAAGGTTTATGATTAAAATATTTCAATATTAATGGTGGAGCGTAAATCTCAAATATAATGCCCAATAATATAACTTTTAAGCCAAAGTTAATTGTTTCCAATTGGCCTTTGCCGCATTGTTTAGGCAAACTTAACTAGTCAAACAAATGGGCATTATTGGCCCTATTGTACAATCTCACACTCCCCTTTATCCAATGTATACTATATGTTTTTTTTTTTTTTTTTTTTTATTAAAATCAATTTATTAGGAACAGCTGAACAGGGTATAAAAAGACAGTTATAATTAAATTCAAAATTAAGGGCTTGTTCTCATTGACTGAACTGATCTGAACTGAATTGAACTGAGCTGAACTGAACTGAACTGAACTGAATATTTTATAAGAGAATGAAATTAGGAGCTGAACTGAACTGAACTAAGTTGAACTGAACTTAATTTCAACGTAAGAGAATAGGCCCTAAATCAAGTCGAATCAACTAAAAAAATTATATCACAAAGTTGTAAAGAATATGCTTGTATTTGAGAAACGATGTATCAGCGTAACCTCTTTTATATCGCTGTTTAATATAATCTTTATGAGTGATTTGATTATTGTTATAGTCCTTGTAGATAGGGGCGGCAAAAGTTAAAAAAAAATGATCTCCAATAACAATAATTGATGGTGTAATGGACCATGAATGTCGTTAGTATGTCACTACTCACTAGTCACTACCCGTAAAACAAGTTAACAAGTGGTATTGATGAAATATATTTGCCGTTATATTCCGTTATTTGCCTGGTTATCATAGTATCTTAACCATAATTATTGCCGTTAAAATTTCAGAATAGTTGTCGTTATGCACTAGACGACATAATAGTATACTAGGGTACTATTGTAATAGACCTAATTGTACGTCTTTTTCTCTTCAAAATTATATGCTTGTAAATAAAATAAAGTATTCACCTCTAATAATAATTAAATTATTAGTATAAATCATGTATTTATGCTGATATCATATGATTAATATAAAATGATGTTCTAATTGCAATGTCATTACCCACTTAAAGCAAATTTTTAATTTTTAATCACATACAAACTCTAGAATACTCTTACGTACAAGTTGGGTACTACAATCTACAAACTTTAGGAAGAAAGAGATTGGTGGGAGTAGATCAAGTTTACTCCTAATAATTTTCACCTTAGCATTAGGAAAGTCCAAAGTAATACAAGTACTTCGTTTTAAATTTCATTTTGGTGTATTGTAGAGTAGAGTGGTGATGATGTATTCGAGATTCAATCTCAAATCTAGCATAACACGTTATTATCATCTCTTAAAATACTGGTCAAATAATTTAATTGACATTCCCAAAATATTTAAATTTAGTATTTATCAATATAGTGGCACGACCTAATTTTGGCTCAATTAAGCAAAAAATCTCCACGAGAGAAGTAGTTACGTAGTAGCTTATAGAATTGTAAAATTGCTACTTGTAAGTTGTGTCTCGAGTAGCTTGTGCTTCAATGTTCCAATCATATTGTATTGCATGCACATATATATATGCATTATGTTAATGGACCAACTCAATCAAAAGTTTAAATAACTGATGTTTGTTATGAATGAGACAATGAGAGCCTTTAGGCTAGAAATATGGATGCAACATGGATCCTCCGAACACCATGCTCTAAATATTTCACTTCAAAGTTAGGGTGGATAAGAATTGAACTTATGACCTTTGTGTCACGTTAGCACTGATAGAAGAGTTAAAGAGTTAGTCTTTGGGTTCGAATCCCCTTAGAGTACACTTAAAAGTGTAATCGTAAATAAGTTTCACTCTTGCGCAACTAATTGAAGACGACTTTTGAAGTAATACGTAAGTAAACAAATATAATTGGGGGAAGCAAGATACACATTGTATCAAAATCCACCCATATCTTTAAGTTATAATTGGCACCAATCCTTCCAATTCATACTTTTTTTTATATTCCTCCTTTCGTCCATCTCTTTTAAAGTATGGGGTAGAAGTCAAATTAGTTTTGGAATTGAAAATTAATTTATAATTTCTGAAAAAGAGCAGATGTTTAAACTTTTGGAAAAGTATAACTTCTATAAGTGGGTGTTTATTTGACTTTCAAGTATGTTTTTATTTGTGCAAATTTGACTTTTAAGAATGGGAAGGCTATTATTGGTTTGTGTTGATGTTAGTACAGTATTTGAATTTGAAAGTCAATTACAAAATCACAAGTGCTAGAAATTCAGTTCTCATTAGTCATTTTCGACATCTAAGGAAGACCAATTCAAAGCCCATCTTCTTGTTGGTCCCATTTTTCTACAATGTATGGGTAATTCACTTGGTTGCCATCTCTATCTCATATCGAATATGGGTTTAATACTTGTATTTTATCGGAGAATTTGTTGAACCTTTTTTTTTTTTTTTAAAAAAAATACTTGTATTAATATTGGTTTACTATTATACGCGCTATTTTTTTTTTTTTTCAATTTTATGGCTTTTTATCTTATTTGTAGATTTAGTCTCAATTTGTATCAAATTGTAATGATAATTTCATCAAAGAATTTGAGGGTTTTTTTTTTCATCAAATCAAACCTAATACTTTTATTAGTTTGAGTTTATATTTTGATACACCAAACGAGAATATTAATCCAAAGAAAAGAGTAAAATTCAAAGATTCTCAACATTATCCCACCACCAAAATCTCAAATGTAAATTACCTCTATGGTCTATACCACAAAGTATTTATTTAAAACAATATAAGATCATACATAAGCAAATATAATTTTACACAACACAACACTATTCTCATCCGAATAAATTTAGGAGTTCTCCTCGTGAGAAGAGATCCTTAATGTTTCACTTTTTCTTACCTTATTACAAAAATAAAAATTCTCACCAAATATCCACAAATAAACCCTTGTCTAAACTTTACATTGCAACAATAGTATACTGTAAGAAACAAGTAAAACATACTTGGTATTATCATAACTTCATAAGCCTCTTGGTTAAGTGGTGAGGATTGGAGGAAGCTCACCTTTAGCCCCAAGAACTTTAGCTTTTGTATCAGGGAAACACTGCCATCCAGGAAGCTCAACAACCTCTCCTTCTTCGGTTACTGAGATAGGATACCTAAGCAAATGTCCAGGAAGATCATGTTCTAAGGTCTCGGAAGTGTATAGATCCCAATACTTATCCGCGGTCTGGTTCACCTTCCTTACACATTCTACACTCTCAGGCTCGAGGAACACATCATCGAGCTTGCCTAAATGCTCGTACCATAATGACATCCGGAAGCCATGAACTTGGCCTCTTGCAGGCTGATTTCTGTGGGCAATATGGTATGGTTGGTAGGCTCCCATGGCTATCTCTGAGTCCCTGGCTCCATTCATAGACCTCTCGTTTATGTTGGCAGAACCAACGATTATGTACTCATCATCAACTAAAACAAGAACACATTCATCATCAATAGTTATCATATACATCATGGTTACTTGTACATTAAAGCTAAGGTCTCTTCACATTCATCATTATAGCATTATATAAAGAGATTATAATCATGTAATTATCTTCAATGTGGTATAATTTAAGTCTAAGAATTATAGGAGCTTGGTTAGTGTAATACTTAGATGTTTGAGACAGTTATATATTGGAGTAAGGAGTTACCTATCATCATCTTAGCATGAACATAGATCATGAACCTTCTAGCAGCCTGTGCTCGGCTATAATCAGTATCAGGTTCCGGACTCTCTGAAGGCTCGTATTCCCCAGGCTTCTTCACCTCGCGATTACCTAGACAAAAGAATGACAGGTATTCCCTGGGGTTAGCTTGGACCCCGTGAGCTCGAAGTGCCTGAATCACATCAGTATACATCATTTCCATAGTCCTCCTCTGCCAGTCAAGTATAGCCTGAACAGAACCGCTCTCAGGAAAACCTTCAGGCCACATAGGCAAAACGACGTAAACAGTAAATCTCTCCCCCTTTTCAATCTTACTAACAATCTTTAAGGACAGTTCTTTAGGGATGAGATTCAGGGCTTCAATAGCAGCAGGAGTTATGTCTGTAGCTTTCCAACCAAATGAACTACCTAGGAAGTACTGATTTTCGATGTATATAAACCTCTTTGCCCTTCGGATAGCATTGATATAAGCATCCTGAATGCTTCGATCAATGATGTTGTCTTTTCCACTTATAAGCCCTGCTTTTGCAGCATCTTCAGGTTTATCTGGGAAGCCAAAGGCAGCCCCACCATCTATGGAACGAAAGACTTGAACATTCCAAGTTTCCGGATCATTAGGGTATGTTACAGGAGATGGAGGAATGAATGTTGAGCTCATTCCTCGGAGGTCAAGTAGAAGATCCTTAGTACCTTGCTTCCTCCATCTTTGCTCAAAATTATAGAGGACATCCCAAGCAGCAGGCCCCTCTAGCTTGCAATGAATGTCATGCCATGGCTCTCGAGGCCCACCTTTATTGATTGAGGCACCATTGAAGTTGGCCTGATGAAAATCATCATGGTGTGCAGTTGCAAGAGTCCTAAAGAGGGAGTGAAATTGAGTGTCATAGCGCCCATCACAAAGATCTATACCTCCAACAAAGCTCATGATTCTTCTCTTATCAGGGTTTCCAGTAGGCAATGCAGTATCAACAGCAACAATCTTTTGGTGGTGGGTGAACATGGTGCCAATCTCTATGTTCTGAATGAAACTCCTCCCATTATCAGGGTTTCGAGGGCATAATACACAGTGCACTTCAGTACCTGAGAAAAAGTTTGCTGTCTCTTGATCATGGGTGGCCATCAGTCCGTCTTCATTCAACCCTTTTACTGATGTCCTATCATCCCAAACGAGCATCAAAACTCTCACCCCTTCCATTGCTTTCTTCTTAAGGAGATCGCCTAAGGTCATATCTCCACCAGGTTTTGGCCTCCTAGTATCCCTTATTAAGGTGATCGAAGTGTAAACTGACCACCCTGCTATGTAAATCAAATGCCTGGCATTAGTAATAGCATCAAAGATGTCTTCCCAACAACGATGTGGCTCATAGTAGTTTCCACCCGCGAGAGGGATCCTAGGGACAAAATTGTCAGGAACATGGGCATCCTGATAAAGGGTAACCTTGCATTGGTTCCTTTGAGTAAAATAAGTGTAGGGTACCCCAGGGAATTTGGGTGTTTTAATCCCTTTATCCCAATTCAAATCTCTAGTAACATCAAAGAATTGAACTTTGACATGGACTTTAGCCCCTTTGTGTATGGGTTTGCGATTCTTGTCAAGGATATCAAGCCATACGTCAACCTCATCTCCACCTAAGATGTCGGTAACAGGGAGATAAGCTCTTCCAAGAAGGGTAGCTCCTATGGCTTCATCTTCTTTCAAAGTAAAGACAACATCAGAAGCCATATGCCCACAGTAGATGTGGAATTGTTCATACCATCGGGGGTTTGGATCATTTTCTATAAGCCTTGTTCGGCCAACTCTTGCTCCTTCTATATCGACTGAGGCATAAAGTCTCCCTGAACCTTTTCCTATCACATTTTCAAGGCCTTCTACCACCTGCAACAATCAATTCACACACAACATGGTTCAGGTTTCATAGAATCTCACCCAAAAAAATGAAATAGAACAGAAAAGAACCTGTCACATATAAGATACAAAGATTATACAGGAAAAAAGTTCTGTTTTAAGAGCTAAGATGTGACTTCTGAGCCATTTTAGAAATTGAAACAGTTTCCAGATTAATTAATCTTGATTGAGTTTATGGGTGAGACGCGCAATAAGTCAACTCAAGTCACGCTTACAGTATATGACATATTAAGTCTCAACAAATAAATATGGAGCATCTCTATCTCATTAGTCACCCCTCAACAATATAACAAGTCGAACTAAGACTAGCTGATCACAGCAAAAAAGCTGTTATGAGACCGATCTCATCATACAACTGTATAATTCTAGCAGCGAAATGCCATTGCCATTTGCTAGAAATCTGTTTGATCACCTCATATGAATGATTCAAACTACAATATTATAAGGGTAGATTATCAAGGATGAGTCAATCAATAGTAAAATTAGTTTCTGCCTAATAGAAATTTAAAGTACATGTGCTTCATTTTATATAGGCAACAAGTTCTGATCAATCAGATGATCCAGAATTCACAAATAAAGTTATGAAATTATTGTTCTGATCATATTTCTGAATCCCTCTTCATTTTAAAGAATCCACATTTCTGTAACAAATGAAGTCTTCTAATTCTCTCTTCCACAATTCAGATCAGATGAACCCGATTCGAATTTGTACACTTAACAGAATATCAATCATAATCACATGAATGATCCTCAGAAAATAACATAAACTGTACATTAAACTTTATATGTTTACATCATCAAAATATGCATTTATAATATGATTTTTTTTTTATGTCACCGACAAATCTTTTAGATCAAGCAAAGAAAAGACAGCAACAGTCCAAATATCAGCCACAAAATAATAACAGAACTGCTAAAAATCAGCTGAGTTTAATCTGATAAAAAATTCTAACTTCCAAAACTACTTTTATAATTGATCATTTCATAGCTTAATTAAACACGATTAGCACTAATATCACAAATTATGAAATATATGATTATTCAAGGTATGAACATACCTTGTGGAGAAATCTGCCACCACCACCACCAAACAATCGAGTCGCCTCGTAAATGGTAACATGAAGATTACCATGTAATAGTATCTTCGCCATAATATCTCAACCAACCTAAACCATAATTAATTGTATGAAATAAGAAAGCAATAATAAGAACATTATGTACAAATTTATATTATACTAATTTTAATATTTACCTGCAACAAACCAATAGTAATCTCTGAACTTCTGGAAAATGAACAGAATTACAAGAAAGATTTCTGAACTTGAGAATGTTAAGGAAAAAGACTGAATATATTAACCAAAATAATACTATATATATTAAGAGATTAATAAAAGATGAAAGTTGATTATATAATTTATAAAGTATGCATTTTTTTTTTTTTTTTATAAATGAAGAAAAAGTATTGCAGGATAATTGAAGATTAAGGAGTATAGAAGAAGATTAAATAATATCAACTTGGATTATTTATGTGTTTTTGTTTTTGGTTTTTTCAAAATTGGGATTGAATTATATTATTGGCATATTGAAATATGTAATGATTTGATTGGTTAATTGACTGTATATTTTATGGGATATGCTTGTGGATGAAAACTGGCCAATCAACGTTAAACGCGTGGGAACACTTTGGACCCACCGTTGGTGAAAAAGATATTTAACCTCATTTTTTAAGTTTTTTTTTTTTCTTTGATGTAATGATAATTTGCTCTTTAATGACATTATTTGGGAAATTATAGGTACACTACTTTGAATAAAGTTCATGTTGTTATTCTAGATGAATTTGAAAAAGAAAAAAGTATAAAGATTACAAGATTAGTTCTAGAAGAAAAGCATATTAGTATAACTAGCTTTTTATTCATCGTATGAAAGAAATGAAGATTTTGTAACAAAAGAGAGAAATGTAGGTCATTTTTAACCTTTAGTTCGTCTTGTGTGTTACTGGACACACCGTATGATCACTTATTATAAAAATAAAAAAAAAAATAAAAAAAAACTCCTATAACACTTATCAGGTAACCCTTATAATACTCATCAAGTAAACCCTAAAACATTGACTAAGTAACTCTATAACATTAGCAAAGTAGCCCCTTTAACATTGATCAAACAACCCCTATTTTACTAACAAAGTAATCGCCACAATGTGGCCAACCACATATAAGAATTTGTGTTTGACGTTAATATCTACTCTCTTATCTTATTTGTCGTGAATTTATTGTTTTAAACTTATTATCTCTTATGCTCCTATTTTGTCTAAACTAATCAATTCTAATCTTACACTCCGAATAAATATTATTGAGTTTATCTTGATAGACTTAGGGCCTGTTCATATTTACTTAATTTCAGTTCAGTTCAGTTCAGCTCCAATCAGTTCAGTTCAGTTCAACTCCTAATTTCCCTCTCTCATAAAATATTCATTTCAGTTCAGTTCAGCTTCAATCAGTTCAGTTCAGTTCAGTAAATGTGAACAGGCCCTTAATGAGCCTTATATAAAATGTTAGGTGAGTATGAGTACAACGGAGTCAAATGAAAACATTGAAATATACGGAGTACTCTAATTTTACAACACACAGATTAATGGATTATGAATAGAGATGATTATATTGATTAGTGTACTATTTACTACGAGTAGTATTAATTGGTACATTAATAGGATGATAATGATGTAATTATTTATCTATTGAAAGTACTCGTAGTAATTACGCCCAACAAAGTGACATAACTAAAATGGATGGGACCCACCAATCCACACTTTAGGAATTAAACAAAGCAAACGTGCTCAAAGTGAAAGAGTATGTTCACTCAATCTGGATTTTCAACCATACAATTAAGACCAAACGGATTTTTAGGAAGACAAAAAGAGTTTCTTGGAGAAAACCAGGAGGTTTAGGAATCCTATAGCTCTTAATTTTTGTGTCAATATATGAATCATTTGGAGCATATTCTATACTTCCCGTTCTTTTTTTATTTGAACTATTTCTTTTATCACGCTATCGACATACAATTTTAATCATCAATAACTTTGATTTGTTGTATATTGTGATAGTATTTATATAGATGATTTTAACAAAATCTCACATGAACATGTTTAATTCACAAAAAAGGGTCAAAGGTGGAATAATGAATAGTGTAAAAGTCAAAGCGGATCAAGTATAAAAGAACCAAGAAAGTATTACTCAAATAAAGTACTCCATATCAATTTAAAAATGTATGATAAAATTATGCATTGATTAGTTTAATTAATTACTTTATATGTTGATTTGACTTGTTGTTCCAATTTTTAATACTCCGTATCATTTTTCTGATCATATATTTGATCGTCATGAAAGGCGATGAATCAATCAATCAATCAATGAGTGAGCATTGCATCAAGTAACCAATAAGAAAATATAAAATTAATCCCATCACTTAAGATTCTAACACGTACACATTTGGATGCTTGGATACAAAAATAATATAGGGCAGTTGCAAACTTGCAATACATTGCATTTGGATGTATTACCTTACACCTATGCAGAGAATTAGGAAGAATTGGTTGAGAAAACTTCATTATTGGACTCACTGACTAATGCATTATAAAGAAAGACAGTTGCAAAGGCCACTAGGACGGTCTAGATGGGTTGAGCCAGGTCACAAGGCAGGTGAGGATGGTGGTTTGAGATTGGGGACCGAACCACGATGCAGCTAGGCTGGCAGGTTATGGATCAATGTGACTCGTGTGACCATTAAACAGGCCACTATAAATGGTCCACCTATTTCTTTATGAACGAACTTAGGAAGATTGGGTTAACAGGTGGCTAGCCCGAAGAAATGAGCTCAAGCTACCTCAGGGCAATTACCTCTAATCAGTCTAAGAAAGTAAGAAGTGGGCTCAAGCTAATTTAGAATTAAAATGACTAATATCTCTAGGTCTGCCCCTATTACATATATTTACATACAATCCATTTTAAAAAAATAACATATAAGTAAGAAAATGAAAGTTTATCATGCATGAGAAATCACTGCTATCTTTTGGAAAATGGTGCTCAGCTGATATCTGTCTGATGAAAATAGGATTTCAAGCAGCAGCTGAAGCCGTTTATCATGTGTACAAGGTAATTAATCTACAGAAACACGGTGTGTAGAGGTATCAGGAATGATATCTCGCGCTTCCTGAAGAAGTTGTTCGATGTCAACTTTGGGATAGTGTTGTAGAAGATACAAGTTGGTTGCAAAATCGCCCTTTAGCAATATATTCTTCACGTGTATTAGCATTGCACAACATATGCGCAAAAGCATGTCCTGGGTGAAAAGGAAGCAGCATTTAGTGAGTAGGGTTGCGAGTGACTTGGGAGAGTAAGTATAAAGTACAAACCCATATCAACCCCCACCTCCCCTTTCGATGAATTGGTCTCTCAAATATACCACCAAAACATTTCACCAAATTTAGGTTTATCACACTTCAGTGGCAGCGCTAACACCTAGTGTAGATATAAAGATTTTAATGAACAATCTTCCCCTACTTTTTTGTCAGAGTACGGAAACTAAGGCATCAAGGCGAACAATCAAAATATTTTAGGTAATTTTGATGTTTAAAGGAAGAGCAAATATCTCCAACCAAGGGATACCGGGATGAAAATTAAGATTTGGCATGTATACCACAGTCCTTGAAAATGTACTTAGAAAGAGAGGCTACACACCTGAACACCGGAAGGATGACTTAAAAGTGAGTCCCATATTCTCAAAATGGTATTAAATTGAAATTCCTGAGTCAATAGCAATGTGATCCATCTGAATGCATAAAATTGTGGATTAACCTGCACGATCAAAAGCTAGAATTCACTCTAAAATGTCATATTGGTTACTCTACACAAATATGCACCCAAAATAGGAAAAAATAGCTCAGTATTTCCTCACAGAAAACAAATTCTTACGTCTGTATTACTTGTTATCTATCATACTACCTTGGTCGTAACTTCAAGATGCTGCCAGAGCTCTTCATCATTGACTTTTAGCATCTCTTGGAGTCTTGATAGGGTCGAGTGGATTCCCACAGAGCTATTATTGTCCAGCTGTTGGCAAAAGTGATCCACTGAATCACTCAATAGTCGAACAAAGCAACCAAAACTATCAGCTTCTGCATTGGCCTGCAAAACATGAAATTAACTCAAAAAATGGTTAGCTTCACTGGAAAATCAGAGAAGGCAATGAAGAGGTAAAAGGAAAAAACACATATTCATTCATATAAAGAACTCAAAATGTCCCAAACGGATGTGTATCTGTCCTAAAACCTATATACTTATAAAGTCTTTTTTAACTCTTATGGCAAAGAGTGTTTTAGCCCTATCGTATCCAATCTTAACAGAGGAGTAGAGACTTTAGCCAAACCCCTTCTAATGGATACCAGTCTAGTGTCTCACTTTTATGACATTTCAAGTTTCAAATATTAGTCAACTTACGTCAACTTAGAAAGGTTGAAATGCATATCACTAACAAGGCGGAGATTGTAAGGATGGGGCTACAAAATAATTGTCACACTCATATAAAAAAAATAGCAGCAAAACCTAGACACTAACAGATCCTAGTCGACTAATCCCAGTACTATGGGGCTACAAAATGATTCACACTTATATCAAGAATTAAACAATAACAGACCCTGGGCAACTAATCCCAGTACCAAAAACCACACACACACACACACACACACACACACACATATATATATATATATATGTTCCCATCTGAACTGTCCACATTTTACTGTCAAGCCCAAAAAGCTAGCTAACACTCATCGGCCAATACTATCCTAATATCTATTTATGGCACACAAATGTTGCATCCCTGATCCCAATGTTTAATTATGGACACTTTCATGGGTATTCCTTTAAACTTGATATGTCAGACCCTGGAAGCAGCTCAGTAGTAGAGGAGAATTCTCTCTACGGCTCTACTTCATTGGGAAATTTGCAGGATGAGTCTCTTAACAATAACTTGAGGAGTTTGTCCAAGGTGGTAGACCAAAAAGTTGGTGTCATACAAGTACTTAATGACTTATGACACTGGTAACCTTAACTAGGCCTTGAAATCTAGAATAGTCATCGAGAGAAGCTAATTACAAGCTCAATGCTTAAAAAGGAAAGCTAATGAAAAGGGCAGAAGAGTCTCCACTTTGCATCAAAAATGTTAACAGTACATGTTTATGTAAAGAAAAGTAAACACGTTCTTACAGCATTTTCCTCGACAGGATCAGTACAAAACACATAGTATATTGGTGCCAAAATCTCATTCATCCCTTGGACATAGAGAGTTGTAGGATTGAGCTTAGCGAATAAAAGAAGTATATTCCTCATTGGCTCCTAGTTAATATAAACAAATTAGCATAAAAGAAGTATTATTGGCACAAATACAACCAAACTTATGTGGTAGTTGCAATCATGGTTCATGACGTGGTTTTCTAAAACTAAAAGAAAATGAGGAGGGTGTGGCTCATACCTTCTTTTTCTGGCTTGGTGATGTAAAAAACTTCAAATCTGGGTGTGTACGTTGCAGATCACGGTCAATTTGCTCTGCAATCTCTGTGAACTAAAAGCATACAAGTTGTTGAAATCATAAAGTAATACGGCCAAGAATAAATATAACAGTCTCTAATTTAAGAAGGAAATATACCTCAAAATATTTTTGCCAGGCACTAGTTTCACCAAGGCTTAGTGGATGGTCTTCATCAGATACATCATGCCGTCTAAGTGGCCCATCACCATGCTCACCTGAACTTGAAGTTTCTTCTCTACTTGAAACTTGTAACTGTCTACATAAAACAAAATTGTTAGGTTATTACAACAATGCCACAAAATTAAGCTTCTTGATATAAACTTGCAATATTTAATTTTCAACAAAGTTAAAATTCTGATCTTACAGGACTGAGCAAATATTCTTCTTTGAGCTTTGAATATTTTACACGATTCTCACTCAACACTTTCTGCCACGAATCTCTGGAGGGAGGTAGATAACCCAAGAGAAGCTGCTAGCAACAGATAACAGTATCAGAGCTATTGAAACTTACATCACAAGAACCACTAACACAAAAAACAGCTCATTACAAAATATTTACAATATGAGAGCTCAGTTTAGGCCAAGCTAAAGAAGTTTTAACGAGAAACTACACATTTTGTCAGTAATAACTTATTCAACCTTATTAAAGACCCAACCAATCAACACCAAATAACACTATTCAGAAATATTCTAGTTGGCTTGTTGCAGATGTCAAAGCATTTAAATGAACACACTTTAAGATAGTTTAAACTATCAAGTACAGTACCAAAACTAAATTTCATTACAACAGCAGTCCACAATGTATGATGCCCTTGACATAGGCCTAACCGCCTAACCACCTAAGGAGTAAAAATGTTACATGTATACAGCCAAACCCCTTGATCTCCCTATCATGAAGTCATAAGTAACAGGAGAAGGTAAATTCGAGTTATGTCTCGTGATTGACAAGTACGTATCAATGTCTTCAGAACAATTATTAGCAAAATCACATCCCGTGATTTTCTCTTAGCAAATGCATTCTCAGCTTCCATGACACTATTTGATAGAGAGGTAAGTGAGTTCAAACTTCAAACTACCAATGCTTATTGCTCAAACAAGAACAACCAAAATATGGAACTGCTCAAGCAGCAAACAACATACTTAGAAGTTATACCTACCATTAAAATAAAAACTTGTTTACTTTAAGCTCAATTAGATTAGCCTATCGTGCGAGCACTCAGTAGTCAGCAATAACAAACAAAAAACAATCAGCATTTCTAAAACACTAACCTTCCAAGTAGTTGCACGAAGGGTTCCACCATCTGGTATCCCAGTACTAGTAATTCTTTGCAATTTTTCCAAATTAATCTCCTTTTGAATCAACTATCCATCAAACACAACGAAAACCTCAATCAATCAACCAAATCAATTAAGAAAAACAAAATACTTCAAGCAAAAACCAAAACCAACCCATTTGAGATTCCAATTACAAATTTAAGTAAGCCTTCAACATCACTCAAATGTTACAAAACCAATCAAGATCATAAATTCACAATCAACCCTTGTGCTCATTAAGAAGGAAAAAAAATGATAAAAATTACACATAGAAAAACAACTAAATCAACCCTTCATAACAATTTAAACAACAAATTAATACAAATTCCTTCAATATTATTAAAAATTCAACACAAACCAACAAAAAAAATAATCATAAAACCCTAATTGTCATTTCTTTACCTCATACTCAAGATCAGACCTTTTTTCATCATCCTCCACAAAATTCCTCGAATTAGGACAAAACCCATCTTTAGGGACCCGGGTTGGAACCCTATCCACTTCCCATTCCTCCTCAATTGGTTCAATTGAACCTTCATTGGACCATCCGCACCCAAGAGGGTGCAATATTTCGAGCTCCTCACCCAAATCTAACCCGGGTTCGGACCCCGAGGTTCCAGGATGGTCTGATGACACATTACGAGGTGACTCGGAGTGGTTAAGCTTTTTTCTAAGCATGGGTTTGGTGACTCGGTGCACGACTCAGTGGTGGGACTGAGTTGGTGAGCGAGTCCACGAAAATGGAGTTTGTGGGTATGAAAGAGGAGAGAGAAAAATGGGTTCTTGGCCTATTTTGCAATCCATGACTCGGTTTCTTGACTCAGTGGTTCTCTGAAGAATGGTAGGTTTTTCTGTTATAGGTTTCGTTGAATGGTAGGAGGGGTCGAGGTAAACAGAAATGTGTCCTAAAGAGGAAATTAATCTTCCAATAATAAGGGTAATTTAGTCAGTTCAAATCAAAAATATTTTAACTTTTTTTTTGGGGTGGTAGAGACGGGAGAAAGTTATAAGAGCAATGTTGCAAACGGAATTTGATTGATCTAACGTTTACACATAAATCATTTCTTACTTTAACTAATGAAGCTAGTAGATCATCCACTCCTCGAGTTGTTTTATGGATAATTAGATTTAAAAGTATACGGTACATGCTTCACGTTATCACTAATTCATTATGTAACGATAACTCATTATATATGGTACTTGTTGTAATCCTAGTATTCTTAATTTCTTATACATAGTGTGTGAACTTGATAATTATTGGCTTATTTTTCTTTGTAATTAATTTATTATTATTTAGAACATCCCTCTATTCTAAAGAGCCTTTTATATAAAATTAAAATATAAAAAATACAAAGTACTCGTACTGTGCTTGGTATTATCAATTCGAATATGATTTTAGATGCATGGAAGAATCAAAAGTAATAACCATTGAAATTAGGGTTGAGGTTCGATCATGGAAGAATCAAAAGTAATAACCATTGAAATTAGGGTTGAGGTTCGATTAGGGTCTTTCTTACTGTTTAAAATAATATATATATATATATATATATATATATATATATATATATATATGTATGTATATATATATATGTATATGTATATATATGTATATGTATATATATGTATATGTATATATATGTATATATATATTGAAGGAATTATATTCCGTGGTTTTCTCATTGTTATTCACTTTGTTTATATACACATTACAAGACTTATCTCAAGCCTACAATTAAGCCACTAATTAAGCTATAAGTTAGGATAAACTATGTACAGAATATCCTAGAGCAATAAACTAGGTAACTGAATATTTACAAAGTCAACTAACGATATATTAGGAGTAATATATCTTAACACACCCCCTTAGTCGTAGCGGGAGGAGGACGAACGCTTAGACTATCCCTGAAATCTTCAAAAAGTACACGTGGTAGTCCTTTCGTGAATATGTCCGCAATTTGGTGCCTTGAAGGTACATGGAGAACCCGAACCTCACCCCTAGCCACCTTTTCACGAACAAATAGGATATCCATCTCAATATGCTTGGTACGCTGATGATGTACCGGATTACCCGAAATGTAAATAGCGCTCACATTGTCACAATAAACCAATGTAGCCTTTTTAATCGGACAAATTAACTCAAGTAATAAATTTCGAAGCCAACAAGACTCCGAAACAACATTTACAACACCCCTGTACTCTGCCTCTGCACTAGACTTAGAAAGAGTAGTCTGAAGTTTGGATGACCAAGAGATCAAATTATCACCCAAATATACACAATATCCAGAGGTAGATCGTCTCGTATCGGGACACCCACCCCAATCAGCATCTGTATAGGATATAAGTGTAGAAATAGAAGAAGGATAAAGGTGCAAACCATGGTCAAGAGTACCCTGTATGTACCTAATTATCCTCTTAAGAGCAGACATGTGAATATCCTTCGGATCATGCATGTGTAAGCATACCTGTTGGACCGCATATGAGATATCCGGCCTCGTAAAAGTGAGGTACTGTAGAGCCCCTGCAAGGCTACGGTACAATGTGGGGTCGGCAAAAGGAGAACCAGAAGAGTTGTCCTTCGATTTCACCTCAACGGGTGTAGCCGAGGACTTACATGAAGACATACTGGCTCGCTTAATAATATCCTCCGCATACTTGCGTTGTGACAAAAATAATCCACCCTTATGTCTTGTCACGACAATGCCAAGGAAATAATTAAGAGGACCCAAGTCCTTCATAGCAAACTCCGAGCTAAGAAGAGACATAATAGAACAACGCAGAGCATGTGAAGAAGCTGTAAGAATTATGTCATCAACATATAATAATAAATAAGCTGTATTTGACCCTTGCCGATAAATAAATAGAGAATTGTCACTTTTGCTATTAGTAAAACCAATAGAGGCAACAAAATCTGCAAACCTCTTGTACCATGCCCGGGGTGCCTGCTTAAGACCATATAATGACTTCCGCAATAAACAAACATAATCAGGATGTGTATGTCTTATCACGGAAACCAAGAGGTTGATGCATATAGACTGTCTCATTAAGCTCACCATGTAGAAAGGCATTCTTAACATCAAGTTGATGAATTGACCAAGATTTTGACAAAGGCAAGCTAAGAACAGTGCGAATAGTAGCCGGTTTCACCACCGGACTGAAAGTCTCCCCACAATCAATGCCCACCTGTTGTGTTTTCCCATCACCTACAAGACGGGCTTTATGCCTCTCAAAATCACCGTTAGATTTCACTTTATGAGTAAAAATCCACATAGAACGAATAACATTCACATTAGACGGACGGGGCACCAACTCCCATGTCTTATTTTTAATAAGAGCATTATATTCATCATCCATTGCCATTTTCCAATTCGAGACACGCAAAGCAGAAATTGGGTTACGAGGAAGAGGTGATTTCGTAATCGTGGACACCATGGTATTGAAATTGTGATATTTCGGGTTGGGCTTGGTGATACCATTTCTACTACGAGTGACAATGGTTGGGTGAGGAGTGGGAATTGGAATTGGTTGGGAAGAGAAAGCAGATGGGCTAGCTAGTTGGGTAGGTTGCAGCTGGGCCGTGGCTGACTACGCAGGCCCACGGTCCTGTTGTGGCCTATTTTGCCCAACAACAGCATTGTTGGGAAGAGAGGGTGATGGAACTGGGCTGCTGGGAGAGGCAGGTGGACGCGGCCCAGTCCGTGTAGGTGTAGAGGAGTGTGGGCCAGCCCGATGAAGAGGAGAGGAGTGTGGGCTAGCTGAGGCAGACCCATGTTGGGCCGAAAGATGAGAAATGGGCTGCTCAGGCACGCCCATGTGATAAATCACATAAGAGTGTAAACCATCATCCAAAAAATTATATGTATGTGAAGTGGGTGTGTGTAATTTAGCAAAAGGAAAAATCGTTTCATCAAACACAGCATGCCGGCTAATTATGATCCTATTAGAAGATAAGTCATAACATTTGTAACCTCTATGATTTGGTGGATACCCCACGAAAACACATGGTGTGAAACGAGGTTGAAGCTTGTTGATTGTGGTGGACGGAATTAAGGGATAACACAAACACCCAAAAACACGTATATGAGAATAAGATGGTTCCTTTTGATAGAGAACTTGGAGAGGGGATTTGTACTCTAGTAATTTACTCGGTAAGATATTATGAAGGTAAGTTGCCATTTGCAATGCATGGTTCCAAAATGATGGTGGAAGAGATGCATGTGCAAGAAGAGTACGAATGATATTATTTAATGATCTAATTTTTCTCTCAGCTTTTCCATTTTGTAATGAAGTATGTGGACAAGACAGACGAAAAGACATACCGGTAGACTCACACAAAGCCCAAAAAGGTCTGTTATCATATTCCCGCCCGTTATCACATTGGAAATTTTTAATAGGTCGGTCGAATTGTGTGCGCACAAAAGATTGAAAGGCTAAAACCTTATCAAAAACATCAGATTTTCTAGCTAAAGGAAAGGTCCATAAAAACTTTGAAAAATCATCCAAAATAAGCATATAATATCGATGACACGAAGAGTTTAAAATAGGAGAAGACCTTAGATCACTATGAACAATATCAAACGGAAAAACAGTATTTGAATTAGAAGAAATAAAAGGCAACTTAATGTGTTTTCCGAGTACACAAGAGTGACAAATATTAGAACTAGAGGAATGAGTACATCCAATATGTTTATTATTACTAAGAGCCTTTAAAATGGAAGACCCCGGATGTCCCAATCGATCATGTCAAAGAGAGGATGCTAAAGCCGTAAAAGTTGATGGAGAGGAGGGTGAAGAGGTGGCAGTGAGTGGGTATAGATCTCCTTGACTATCACATCTCATTATTGGTATCCCCGTCCGATAATCCTTCACAGAAAAACCATAAGGGTCAAACTCAACAGACACACAATTATCAGTTGTGAATTTTCTAATAGATATTAGATTTTTAATGAGTTTAGGTGCATGAAGGACATTAGAAAGGGACAAGGGTTGGTTTGGGGATGGCAAAGTAGTATGACCAAACCTCGAATTGGAATTGAATGACCACTACCAACAATAATACCATTATGATGATTGCTCAAATTAAAATAAGACGAGAGATTACCATTGGATGATGTCATGTGCGAAGTAGCACCAGTGTCCATATACCACGAGGGGTCGGGTTGGCTCAATTTCATAGTGTGCATAGCCGATTCGATATCCGTCGGAGTATAAGACTGTTGGGAAGCCGCATAAGCATGTTGAGGTCGTTGCCCTAGTATGCTGGACTGCTGTTGCTTCATTGGGCCTTGAGGTCTGGCCCAACCTTGAGTTAGGTATGGACAAGGTCGGGGTGTCCAGTGAGGTACCCAACCCCAAGGTGGGTATTGTTGCTGCCATGAAGGAGGAAACGACCACCCTTGTTGTTGATGTTGCTGACCCGGACCACCACGACTGCCACCAGACGTCTGGCCGCCGCCAGTACCGGGGCCGCGACCACCCCCTGCACTCTAACCACCGCCTGACTGTTTTCGGCCACCACCATTCTTCTTCGGATTTTTGTTCTTGCCACGTACCGAACCCGAATCAGCCCCGAAATCAGTATCTCGAGTAGAACCCGCCACCATTGCCGTAGCGGAGTGAGCAGCCTTTCTAGCCAAACCCGACTCCTCCAAAGTGAGCATCGATCGGGCTTGATAGAATTGAGGGAGGGGAGTGCTTTGCCGAATGAGTGTAGCAACACCATGGTAGGACTCTGTGAGACCGGCAACCAATTGAAGCACAAGACGATTGTTATCGACCGGTGCCCCTACATCTTTCAATTGGTCAGAAAGACTCTTGAGCCTTTGACAGTACGCCAAGGCGTTAGGGAAATCCTCCATTTTTGTGTTGGAGAATTCTTGTTCAAGGGTTACGGCTCTAGAGTTTTGATTATCTCGGAAAATATCACGCAATCTTTCCCAAGCCTCCATTGCCGTAGAATCCGGTTCAATAATTGTTTGCAAAAGATCCTTCGAAATGGTCGAATATATCCACCCAAGAACCAATGCATCCAATGTCGACCATAGCTCCTTTTCCTCATCGGTTGAAGGGGCAGCGACCTTCTTTTTCGGAGCAATAATATGGTTGAGAACCTTGTGAGATCGAGCGTGAATTTTGAAAAGTTCCGCCCAAGTGGAGTATGCAACATTGTCCAATTCAAGAGTAATTGGAATGTTGCTCTTAATGTTGGAAACAGTAAAAGCCGGGTGGAAAGAGGACTTGTTATCTGACATGCTTACTGTGAAAAACAGAGAAGAAGAGAAGAAAGGGGAAGAGAAGAAGAGAAGAAAGGGTGGAACAGAGCACTAGGGAGCAGCGGAAATTACCCTAAGCGACTGATACCATGAAGGAATTATATTCCGTGGTTTTCTCATTGCTATTCACTTTGTTTATATACACATTACAAGACTTATCTCAAGCCTACAATTAAGCCACTAATTAAGCTATAAGTTAGGATAAACTATGTACAGAATATCATAGAGCAATAAACTAGGTAACTGAATATTTACAAAGTCAACTGACGATATATTAGGAGTAATATATCTTAACACACACACATATATATATATATATATATATATATATATATATATATATATATATATATATATATATTCATTCTTGATGTGATTTTGTGCAGATTGGCCACTTTCTGACTACATGTTTTAATTAATTGTACTCGGTGACATATGTTTTTAAGCTATTGCTAGAGAATGGCTTAAAGAACAATTATTACTTACTTTTTACGTAAAGATTTACTTACTTTTTACAAGAAATTTCACGTACCAATTCATGAAGATCGAATTGAATAATGTACACATGAATATTCACCGTCTTAGACATCTTCAGTTATTGCTGATTCTTACTCCACCATATGTATAAGATGTGGATATAAATCAGAAAGGATATATGCTATATCCAATTTGATTGCGAAATTCATTTTTTTATTTTGGCATTCACATGAGATTTACATAAAATATTATCACTACTAGAAAACAGGTTGATTGCGACGGAAATTTTTCGTCGGAAACACCTTGTTTTCCGTCGCAAAACCCATTTGCGACGGAATTCCGTCGTAACTGGTTGTCGGAAAAACCCTTTTCCGACGGAATTTCCGGCGGATTTCAGTCCGCCGAGAACATTTTCAAGCACGACAAAGTCCCTCATAAAATTCCGACGGAATTGAATTCCGTCGTAAATGCCCGACGGAATTTCCGTCGGAAAATGCTTTAAAAAAAACAAAAAAAAAGCCACCGCCACGCTGTACCAGCCAACGCCACCGCAAGCCGTCACCCCTCACCACCTACCCCCACCTCACACAACCAGCAACTCACCAAGTCACCTAACCTACACCCAACCCCACCAACCGTATCACCACCCACACCAGAACCCTACCCACCAGCCACCTACACCAGATCCACCACCCCACTACCCACCTACAACCACCACCGCCACCTAACCATATTTACCACCCCACCACCCACCTAAAATCACCACAGCCACCACCAAAAATCACCACAGCCACCACCAAAAATCACCACAGCCACCACCAAAAATCATCACAATCCAGAATTTAACAAAAAAATAAAAAAAAATTAAAATCAAAATTGAAAAAAACGAAATAAAACAACAAAATAAAACCCACAAATACGGTCTCCATCCAACAGCCACCATCCACCACCACCATAAATTGTAAAAAAAAAATTCCAATAAAACAACAAAATAAAATCAAAATTGAAAAAAACGAAATACATACCTTAATTAGACCACACATAACCTCGAAATTGGGTTTAAGAGGCCAAATTCGACCATAAAAACTCTAGATCTAGAGTTTTCATGGTCGAATTTGACCCAAAAACCTTTGTTTTAAGCATGAAGAGAGAGAGTAAGGGCGAAATAGATGAATATTATTGTTGATGTTGATGCCGGCGATGGTGTTGTTGACGTTGGTGTTGTCGTTTTTCGTTGTTGATGGCGGCTATGGTGGGAGATTTGAGGGGAAAGTAGAGTAGAGGAGAGATAGAGAAGGAGAACGAGTGAGATTCAGAGAACGAAAGAAGGAGAACGAATTGAAAGAGAACGAATTGAAAGAGAATCAGAGAGCTGAGGAGTGAGAACGAATTGAAAGAGAAGGGGAGTGAGATTCAGAGAAAGAGAAGGGGAGGAGAGAGAAGAGGAAAGATAAGGAGGAGAAGAGGCGGATAAAAGAGAGGAGTGTTACGTTATTCTACGGTTGGTTTTTTTTAAAAAAAAAAAAAAAAAAAAATTCCGACGGAAAATTCCGTCGTAAATTTCCGACGGACTAAAAATCCGTCGGAAAAGGTAATTTCCTACGGAAATATCCGTCGGAAAGCCCCATATATTACGACGGATTTTAATTCCGTCGGAAATTTCGTACTTTACGACGGATTTTCTTGTCCGTCGGAATGGTTCCGTCGGAATTAAGCTGTTTTCTAGTAGTGTATTGATGGACACGACACGTACATATATAAGAATTTTTTCAACCATCTTTTTGCGGTGAGACAAGAATATATGGCTTAAATTGAAAAACGATTGATATATACTGCCATATGAACAAGTATGATCCAATCACTATATATTCTAACATAATAACTATCTTTTTCATTAACATTAAATTTGTTTCATGGAATTGTACACTGACATTAATGCTTTAGATATAGGACCATTTGCCCTAACAATGCTAATAAGTACCAAGATGGGACATTTGCTCAAATTCATCCATAAAGTTTGCACCTATAATATGTCTGGTTTGTAATGTAACAAAATGGCTTAAAAAATTCTATAATTTCTCTAAGGTATAAGTATTGCCAACAACAACAAATTAATTGGCACTATATATATTTCATAATTATTGAGAGTATATATAAAAATACTTCGATGAAGTAATATGAGTGTATATATTATTTCTAATTCATGATTGTTACTCTCTTAATCCTAAATATTTGCAATGTATTCGTAGTTGTTGTTTGACATGTACGCTTTTTAATATCAGTGATTAAGATGTAAAGTAGTGTAAATGGAAGTAAAAAGGACGAGTTTGTACTACACAGGTTTTAAAGTGATTCTATTAAGCATAATGTACACAGTATAATAATAAATACTCGGCTGATCGTACGCAATATCATCTAAATAAAACGTTTTTCAAGCCTATATTGGCGAATTAAAGTTAATTACTAGCATTATTGAGTTTGTTGCAAATCTTATAATCGTCTTAATATTAGCATTATTGAGTTTGTTGCAAATCTTATAATCGTCTTAATATCCTAACACTGATCATATCACAAAGGCACGTGCTGCAATTATTTAAAGACTGAATGAAACATGTACGTACACGTATTATTTTGTCGTATATGTATGTATGTAGCTAGCTACATAAGATTTCATTTAAGGATGTTTAATTTATTTGAGTATCTCCCTTTCTAATTACAACTGTGCTACCACTACAACAATTGTTCATCATAATGAATTTTTAGCTGGAAATGAACTTCGTACTATACAACTTAATATGTTTAGGCCCTCTCCAAGTCACAATGGGACAGTCCATAGTGACTCTTTGCACACTTTGTACGCCTCATATTTTATATATATATAGCACGAAAATTAAAACATGTCTATAACATACATTATCTTTACATTTCTTTCTCACTCTCTCTTCTTTATGTATTTCTCTATGAATTTTCTCCATCAAAGTATAGAAAAGAAGTAACAATCGAAAGCAATAATGGTACATTCCAAGAAATTTCGAGGCGTTAGGCAACGACAATGGGGATCTTGGGTGTCTGAGATTCGTCATCCTTTACTGTAAGCCTAATTTTCGTTTTAAGTGCATATATACTCGTAAAATATTAGGATATCCTGATATCCACCTCACGAAATTATATCATAATTTATTTACAACATACGGAGTATAAGCTAAAAAAACTAGCCTTTGCATATATTTAATGTAAAGTTGCTCATTCATCATGATGGAATTATCGCATGTACATACATTCTTAATTTGTGCAATATTGCTAAAATGCTAGTTAATGGTCCTCTCTAATATTAATTCCTTTGTTATGGACATGTTTCCTTTAATTAGGCAGGTTATATTTTTTTTAGGATGACATAAGTATACAAATAAAGTTAGGATTGTCTTCTCGTAAGATTGCATCTTAAATTATTAGAAAAAGAAAATAAGTGATATTGTTGACGGTCTTTAGGTAGGTATACATGTCTATTGTTATGGTTGAATCTTTTCAATGTAAATTAATATGCAGTTAATACAATTTGTTAATCAGTGGATATGTAGTTTAATTCATCTTTATTGAATTTTGTTACATTATTACAAGCTAGTTGTCAAATAATTTTTTTTTTTCTTGCATGTGTCTTAATATATATTATGATCAAGTAAGAAGAGGGTGTGGCTAGGCACATTTGACACAGCAGAAGCAGAAGCAAAAGCTTATGATCAAGCAGCAATTTTAATGTGTGGAAGAAATGCCAAGTCCAATTTTCCACTTTCTCAAAATATAAATGAATTAGAAGAGCTTAATTACAATAAAAATAAGCTCAATTACAAGGGTAGTAACCCTAACTCCCTAAAATCATCTTCCTCTAACACACATGAGAAATTATCCCAAGCACTTCATGCCAAGCTTTGCAAGTCCAACAAGGTTCCATCCTCGTCTCTAACTTGCCTAAGGCTCGACACTGAGAACTCCCACATTGGTGTATGGCAAAAGCGAGCTGGTCCAAGCCCTAATTCAAAATGGGTCAAAACGGTCACATTCGAGGATAATAAAAACATCAAGGTTGGTGATATTGATCATGAAGAGTGTAACAAAGAACAAGAGGGTCAAGAAGAAAGAGTAACTTCTCCTAGTATTGGTACATTTGGTATAGTTCATGATCATGATCATGTTCATGTGTTGGATGAAGAGGAAAAGGTTGCATTGCAAATGATAGAGGAACTTCTTAGTAGAAATTATTGCTCTAACTAAGCTAGTCTTTATGTAACTAGGTTTGGATCTTTTGGTTGTTATTTAGCTTGTTACAATTCAAGATATATGTCATAGTAATATATGATGCTAAGATAGTATATTATGTAAGAAAGTTCTTACTAAGTGTGAACATCTTCTACATGACTATAAATTGAAGGACTAGGGATGCAATATTACTAAAAAATTGAAATACAACAAATAAATAAATAGAGGGTACAATTATTGTACTTACTTGCATAGATAAGGCAAGTTTAAGATCGATTGGTCTTTATCAAAATGGTATGTACTAGGAATTGAAGTAACATACACAATAATAAATATTTATCGAGTACAATATTACATGATTTTGCAGACTATTGGTTGATATATATATATATATATATATATGTTGATAAGTATATTAGGTGACTCGTACTTCGTAGCTTTGTCCGCCCGATCGGGCGGACATTGCCCGGTCTGACCGGGCGGAAGAAGAAGAGGTGCCTGGCAAATTCGTTGAAGAAGCTGCTCTCGCGCCCGACCGGGCGAGCCTTCGCCCGACCGGGCGAGCCTTCGCCCGATCGGGCAGACCTTGCCCGGTCTGACCGGGCGGTGGGGGTTGGATACGTTGAAGCATTCGTATGGAGTTTTCTTCTCGCGCCCGATCGGGCAGACCTTGCCCGGTCTGACCGGGCGGAGAAGGAAAAATGCGGAGACGCGGATTTTACGATTTAAAGTTATCTTTTATGTTATCTTTTTGCCCAAGTATCTTTTATTTTAGGGATTAATATAAAACCTCCCTAATATCAGTATTAGGGTTAAGAAGAGAGAGAGAGTGAGAGCCGTTCTTGAGAAATACAAGAATCATCTTTGTAATCTTTGCAGTTTATAGTGAAATCATTCGATCTCGGTGCCCGTGGACGTAGCTATCACATCGATAGTGAACCACGTAAATTCTTGGTGTTGTTCTTATTGTTTGCATTGAATTTCTTTATTGTTTTCTTGTTTGTTTTCGACCTTTGCTTCCGCTGTCGCACAACAATTGGTATCAAGAGCTCAGGTTCAATCCTTGGAGAGTTTCTTGAAGATAACAATGGCAGGAGATTCAACAATAAGAATTGAGAAGTTTACCGGGAAAAATAGTTTCGGGCTATGGCAAATTAAGATGAAGGCTCTGTTAAAACAACAGCAGATATGGCGTCCGTTGGCTCCAAAGAGTACTACTTCGGAGTCAGGAGACGGACCGACTGACTCGCAGTTAGAAGTTATGGAAGAGAAGGCACACTCTACCATATTACTTAGTCTTGATGATCAAATCATCACGGAGGTTGCTGATCAGGAAACGGCGGCTGGATTGTGGCTGAAGCTGGAGTCATTGTATATGACTAAGTCGTTGACCAACAAATTATTACTGAAACAGCGGTTGTTTAGCCTCCGGATGCAGTCAGGTACTTCCTTACGGGAACATCTAGAAAAACTTAACTCTATTTTGCTTGATTTACGTAATTTAGATGTTAAAATTGATGATGAGGATGCTGCGTTGATTTTACTTGTATCTCTACCGTCTAGCTTTGAGAATTTTGTAGAGTCTTTTGTTGTTGGTAAGGATTCTATAACCTTAGAAGAAGTGAAGGCAGCACTTCATACTAGGGAACTCAGAATGAAAGCTACGAGTGATAATGGGGATAATGGTAGTGGGTTGTTTGTTAAGTCCGGAAAGTCTAAAAAGAATAAGGGGTTTAACAAGGGGAACAATGCTGGGTCGGGTGCTGGAAACGGCAAGGATGGATCTAGTAAAACTACTACTAAAACATGTTATTACTGTAAAGAACCGGGTCACTTTAGGAATAATTGTCCGGTGAGGAAAAACAAGTCCCAGGCTGCTGTAGTTGAAGAGAAACCGAATGAGAGCTATAATTCAGAGGAAGATTTAGCATTAGTCAGTTCTGCTAGGTCTGATGATTTATCTGATAACTGGGTTCTAGATTCGGGGTGTTCGTTCCATATGTGTCCACGTCGAGATTGGTTTGATACATATGAACCTCGCAATGGGGGTATGGTTATAGTCGGTAACAATGCTCCATGTAAGGTCACAGGTATTGGTTCCATGAGGTTGAGGACTGTTGATGGGCGGAGGTTAACTTTGACTAATGTACGGCATGTTCCTGCTTTAGGAAAGAATCTGATTTCATTGGGTACCCTGGATGAATTGGGGTACAATGGTGTGTTTTCAGATGGGGAGTTGTGTATTTTCAGAGGTTCTGAGTTGGTACTTAAGGGTATCAAAAGGAACACCCTCTATGTTTTTGAGGGTGTTACACTGCCTAGTTCTGCGGTTTGCGCATCTGTATCTCACCAGGAGATGACTAAGATTTGGCACATGAGGCTTGGTCATATGGGGGAGAAGGGGATGCAGCTATTGTCCAAGAGGGGTCTTCTATCCGGGGTCAAGGTTGCCAACCTTGAATTTTGTGAGCATTGTGTGTTTGGTAAGAAACACAGGTCAAAGTTCAGCAAGGGTGCTCACATTACTGATGCAGTGCTCGATTACATCCATTCAGATTGCTGGGGTCCATCTAGAGTTGAAGGTATGGGAGGTTACCACTATTTTGTGTCATTTGTTGATGACAAGTCCCGATACACATGGCTTAGGTTGCTTAAGTCAAAGGATGAGGCCTTCAAAGTTTTCAAGCAATGGAAAGCTTTGGTGGAAAATCGACAAGGAAGGAAGATCAAGAAGCTACGAACGGACAATGGGCTAGAGTTTTGCAAAGACGAGTTTAATCAGTTCTGTGCAGATGAGGGTATAGGTCGGCATCATACTGTCAGGAAGACACCACAGCAGAACGGTGTAGCAGAACGGGTTAATCAGACACTGCTAGAGAGAGTCCGATGCATGCTCTCCAATGCAGGGCTTGGGAGGAGGTACTGGAGTGAAGCTGTGTTAACAGCTTGTTATGTCATTAATAGGGGTCCTCATTCTGGAATTGATTCCAAGATTCCGTTTGAGATCTGGAGTGGTAAGTTGCCTAATTTTTCGAATTTGAAGATTTTTGGTTGTGTTGCTTATTATCATGTTATTGAGGGTAAGCTGGATCCACGAGCCAAGAAGGGGTGTTTTGTTGGGTACGGGGATGGTGTGAAGGGGTTTAGAATTTTTTCACCTTCGGAGGGTCGGGTCATTCTTAGTAGGGATGTTACTTTCGATGAAAACACCATGTATTCAATTAAAAATGCAGAGATTTCAGATTTGAGAAGGGAAGGAGACAATTTATTACAGACAGATGGGGTACTTGAGGTACATCAGTCTACCATTGCTGATTTACCTCGGGTACAATATATTGATGATGATGCTGATGTTCCAGTGCCGGGTACTCCTGAACCTGAGATTACTCCTACTCATTCTAACTCTGGGGATGAGGTGGAGCAATCTAATCAGGGGTCATCTAGTCAACCTGACACCATTCTTGAGATGCCTAAACGAGTTATCAAGAAGCCTGTTAGATTGATTGAAGAGATGGAGGGAAGAAATTGCTGTGTTGATGCGATGACAGGTTATGCATTGAGTGTAGCTGATGATGTAGAGTCATTTGAACCTGCCACATATAAACAAGCAATTAGTTGTAGTGAGTCTGCGCAATGGCTTGCCGCAATGGGTGAAGAGATGCAGTCCCTTTACAAGAACAGAGTGTGGGAACTGGTAAAGGTACCGGAAGGGAGGAAGCTTGTGGGTTGTAAATGGATTTACAAGAAGAAAGAAGGGTTGTCGGAAACTGAGCAAATACGTTTTAAGGCTAGGCTAGTTGCTAAGGGGTTCAGTCAGGTAGAAGGGGTTGACTTTGTTGAGATATTCTCACCTGTGGTTCGACATACTTCTATCCGTGTGTTATTGTCAATTGTAGCACATTTTGATCTTGAGCTGGAGCAGTTGGATGTTAAAACGGCCTTCCTTCATGGCGATTTGGAGGAGGAGATTCTGATGAAGCAGCCCGAAGGATTCGAAGCTCCTGGAAAGGAACACTATGCCTGCAGATTGCTAAAGTCATTGTATGGACTTAAGCAATCCCCCCGACAGTGGTACAAAAGGTTTGATTCTTTTATGGTTTCACAAGGTTTTGACAGGAATTCATATGATTGCTGTGTGTATCATAGTAAGCTGGATAATGGTTCCATGATTTATCTTTTGTTATATGTTGATGACATGTTGGTTGCCACAAAGAATAAATCTGATATTGCTAGATTAAAGGAGATGCTTAACTCGGAGTTTGACATGAAAGACTTGGGTGCAGCTAGGAAGATTTTGGGTATGGAGATCTACAGGGATCGGGCTAGAGGTAAGCTTTTCTTGACTCAGAAAAGCTACATTGAAAAGATTTTGTCTCGTTTTGGGATGGAAAAATCGAAGCCTATAAGTACGCCAACTACTGTTAGTTGTAAGTTGTCTTTGTCTATGTCACCTCAATCAGAGGAGGAGTTGTCTTATATGTCTAGAGTTCCATATGCAAACGCGGTTGGTTGTTTGATGTATGCTATGGTCTGTACTAGGCCGGATATTGCGCATGCTGTTAGTGTTGTAAGCAGGTTTATGGCTCGACCTGGGAGGGAACACTGGCAAGGGGTGAAAAGGATTTTTCGCTACCTGAGAGGGACAACTGATATTGGTCTTGTGTACGGGAATGGTAGGGAATGCTTGGTCACTGGGTACAGTGATTCTGATTATGCAGCTGATGTGGATACCAGGAGGTCTGTGACTGGTTATGTGTTCACTTTGGGTGGTTCTGTGGTTAGTTGGAAGTCTACATTGCAATCATCAGTTACGTTGTCAACTACTGAAGCTGAGTATATGGCTTTAACTTCTGCAGCTAAGGAGTCTATTTGGCTCAAAGGCCTAGTAGGTGAACTGGGTATTGCACAGGATTTTGCTACAGTGTATTGTGATAGTCTAAGTGCGATTTGCTTAGCTAAAGATCAAGTACACCATGATCGGACGAAGCACATTGATGTCAGGTATCATTTCTTGCGTACTGACAAGAGGATTAAGGTGAAGAAGATTGGGACTGCTGACAACCCGGCTGATTTCTTCACTAAGCCTGTTCCGTTTAGCAAGTTTAAACATTGCTTAGACTTGCTAAATATTGATTACTACGTGATGTAGTAGGCCCTGAGGGGCGAAGTTGGGGAGCTCCTGGTGTAGGTGTGTTGGCATTAAGGTGGAGCTTGCCCGGGGCTTGTGATGCAGGTGGAGCATTATGAGTTGTTATACTTGGAGACGAGTATGTGATGGGTCTTGGTTGAAGACTTATCGGGATGTATGGCTTATGCATGAGTCCTGCA